TCTCCTGCATCTTTAACATCGTTTCTTGAATAGTTAATAATGTTGTCTGCATGCATTGCATATTTGATAATGCATTTTGCTTCTCTGTCCCCAACATTCCCTCTATTGTTCTCTGTCCAGGGGGAGATGAAGGTGTCAGTACTAAACTTGACATTGTTTTTTTCCCCATTCTCAGTATTGCCATCTTAATATCTTATTTATCAAATTTATTTATTTATTTTATTCCTTATATCCCTTTGTTTGATCAGCAAATCTTCTAACTTTAGTCCTCTTTTCTCTTTCCCTAGTCCTCTTCGTTTTCTTCTTATTGTTTAACACCCACTCTCTCTAAAACTCTAAATTTTTTCACCCAACTTATATCATCAGCTTTTAGTCCATTAGTCCATATATCAGTTCCTGTCTCTCACCGCCCAATCGAGTCCTCTCACTGTCTCCTTCACTTTCCAAACTCTCCACACTTCCTGGTTCACCTCCTCCGTTCTCTTCCAACCTCGCTTTTTTTTCCCACTTCTGGACCTTCTCCACGTTCCTGTCACCTTCAGCGTCGTGCCCCGTCCTCTCACCGTCTCCTTCACTTCCTCTCACACTCGTCGCCGTCCTCTTCACTTTCTTCCCTCTTAACCAAAGACACAGTCTCTCTAGGACTCCGTATTTCCCCTCTGATCCTGTATCTCCCACCGACAATCCATTTCTTTCACTTTCGCACGTCCTCTCGCCGTCTCCTTTGCCTTCCGGATCCTCACTGCGCTCCGCTCACTTTCATTACTTAATTGCATCCTCTCATCTCCTTGGCTTTCCGGATCTTCTCCACGACCAGGTCTGTCTCCAACTTTCTCCTCCAACCACTTTCTCCAATCTTCCACAGCGTGTTCACTCTTTCTCCGTTTCTCCTAAATCGCCATTTTCTCTCTCCAATCTCACTTTCTCCGATCTTCTGTAACGCGCTATTTCTCCGATCTCTCTAACGTTCCAAATTTCGATCTCTTCCTGTTGCTTTCACCTCCGTATTATGTCCTCTCGCCAGTTCCTTCACTTTTCCAACTTTCTATTGCTTCTCCGCATTTGGTACGCAGCCTCTCTATCGTTCTTCTCTCCTTCCGACCATTCTTCTCACTTTCAATTTCGCCACCACAACATATCCTCTCAGCGTTCCTTCCCTCCTTTCTCCTCCAACCTCACTTTCTCACCTTCTTCGTTCTGTGCTAGAGCACCACAAAATTTTCTTTCTTTTATCTCACTCCTGTTAATCCTCTGACTTTTTTAATGTTAAATCACAGTTCTTCCCCGCTGGGTCGCCGCTTATGTTGAGGATTCCCTCTTCTATTGAGCTTCCTTACAACACCAGAACTAACAGATAGGTAAATCTTTTAGACCTTTCTAGTACTTTGGAATATTTTTATAAACTTTTAACTCACTCTTTGACATAGTCCATTAAGTATATCTTCCTTCTGTATCCTTTGTGGTTAGTCAGGGCCTTGGATCTGCCATCTGTTGAAGGCAGAAGTTTATAAGTTGGATTTAAGGGTTTTCCTCCGTCGTAGTGTGTGCCTGCCTCACACCTCACTACTCCCCAAGGTTTCACCCTTTTCGCATGTAGCCCTCCAGACTCTCTGTGCCCCCGAAGGGTCTCCAAACTTGAAAAAATCAGAGTTAGAGGACGGAGACTGTCCTCTTCCCCCTGCACCACCTCAACATCACCACCGGAAGTCCCTTCTTATCAAATTTTTATTCTGCCTTCTGCTACTCATTGTTAACAAATGAGAATTTGATCCTCAATGTCATCAAACGTATTGAGAAAATGTTATGATGTTAAGCATAAGATGGATTCAATGCTACCAATTTCTTTAGAATCATATGCACTAAAATATAAAGAAACTGCTTAAAACACCATGTTTTATAATAAAGTTTGAATAAAACAATGTTTAGGTTATTCAGTTTTAGAATAACATTCAGTTCTTTGTGTTGGAACTAATGATAATAGAGCCAGTTAAGAATGAATACTATACACTAGTCTGAACAAATTGAAAAATAAATATAAAGGTTAAAGTGCAGAAAATCAATAACATTAAAATAGGTCCTAATGTATAAAACCAAATAAAACTAAGTAGAGCCACAATTGAAATTCAATTAGTTTCTCTGCATTTAAATTCATTTAATTAATATTCTCTAATTGATTGATTGATTATGTGACATCAAGTCTGTGTTGACCATTAATGACCACATAGATCTCCTCCCCCCCCCAAATGGCCCCAGATGATGATTCCTTATTTAGGAGCTCCCTCTTATGGTAACAAGCATAATATCTTCATAGAACTTGACAAAATTAACTTGCCATACTGGAAAAATGGAGTTAGACATAGCATAATTAATATGTAGAAGCTGTAAAATGAGCTCAAATGAAACTAGCAGAATAATTCTATGCTCGGTTACTATCAAGGAGGAACAGTCAGATGCAATATTTGCATACTTATTTAAAATCAGAAAGAAGGAAAATGCTACGACTAATTGATACAACCCTTGCTAATCAATCACAATTTCTCATTCGGGTTTCTTGCACAAATGTGAGAAATTCAGTTTCCATTCAAAATATCCCCTGAGCTGTATAGAGAGTTTTGTGCCACAAAAAGCCAAATTAAACAGCCAGGAAGGAAAAATTAAACATTGTCAATTATAGAGTCCATGAGCCCGCTCTAGGCTGTAAAACATAAATCTCAAACCAGTAAATTCCAAAAAACATGAAATGTAGAAGCAGATTAAAATACATCTAAGAAAATTTAATAACACAGGATAAAAGTAATAAAAGCTTAAATCGGGGGTCTTCAAACTTGGCCCTTTTATGACTTGTGGGCTTCAACTCCCAGAATTCCTCAGCCAGGCACACTGGCTGAGGAATTCTGGGAGTTGAAGTCCACAAGTCATAAAAGGGCCAAGTTTGAAGACCCCTGCCTTAAATGTTTTACTTTGGTTGGCTCTTGTCTATCTGTAATCAGCTTAAATCTCTGAAGAGGCATAACTCTGTGAGGTTTTCTTGATTCCAAACTGTTGATCTGTATCAGCTAAAATCTCTAAAGAGGCATAACTCTGAGTAACAGAATAACAGAGTTGGAAGGGACCTTGGAGGTCATCTAGTCCAACCCCCTGCTCAAGCAGGAGACCTATACCATTTCAGACAAATGGCTGTCCAATCTCTTCTTTAAAACTTCCAGTGTTGGAGCATTCGCAACTTCTGGAGGCAGGTTGTTCCACTGGTTAATTGTCCTGACTGTCAGGAAGTTTCTCCTTAATTCCAGGTTGCTTCTCTCCTTGATGAGTTTCCATCCATTGCTTCTTGTCCTGCCTTCAGGTGCTTTGGAGAATAAGTTGACCCTCTCCTCCTTGTGGCAGCCCCCCAAATATTGGAAGACTGCTATCATGTCCCCCCTCATCCTTCTCTTCATTAAACTAGACATACCCAATTCCTGCAACTGTCCTTTGTATGTTTTCGCCTCCAGTCCCTTAGTGCGAGACTCCCGTGTTAAATTTGAATCGTGTTTGCTTCCTTTAGTTCAGTGTTTCTCAACCTTGACGATTTTAAGGCACGTGGACTTCAACTCCCAGAATTCCACAGCCAGCAATGCTGGCTGTGGAATTCTGGGAGTTGAAGTCCACATGCCTTAAAATTGTCAAGGTTGAGAAACACTGCTTTAGTTCTTTCTTCTGTCTTTTTTGATGTGGTTTTGCCCTTGATGCGAGGAATTTAGGACTGAACGGCAAATCTTTTAATCCTCCTTGCTACAAGAATTTGTTTCCAAAACATTCCTTGGCTTTGATTGAAGCCGTTGTGAATCGCAGCGGGAATCTTACCCCATCTCACTTTCTCTGCTTCTAGGCCAGGGATAGGCAACCTTGGCTCCCCTACGACTCTGTGAGGTTTTCTTGAGTCCAAACTGCTCCTCATCGATAAACGTGTCCTTTAGCCTCTAATTCTTGACTCTTGCTTAAAAACACCCAATTGATTACATGTAGTCCTCGACTTACCACACCAGGAGCCAGAAAATTCTGTTAAGTTGTCACGTGACTAAGCCCAGTTTTACAATTATTTTTGCCACAGTTGTTAAGCAAATCACTGCTGACCCTAAGTGAATCAACCAGTTCCCCATTGATTAACTATGCTGTTAAACTCCTGGCCAAGGTTTATACGATATTGGCAAGGCCTTCAGTTAATCAAAAAGGTCTTCATGCCTTTATTTATTTTTGAGATTTATAAAGCTATACAGATCAAACAACGAGGCTGTGGGTTGTGTAAAGCCTGTAAAAAAACAACAACAACCCAAACCCAAATCCATTGTCTATATTCTTCTTCTTATTGTGCCATATCCGTTATCGGACGTTGGCGATCATGTTGGCGATTTTGTTTTTATCAGCAGCCGCACGAAAAAGTGCTGCTGAGTTTTGTCCAAACCAGTCCCTTAGATTTTGAAGCCACGATGTTCTTCTTCTGCCTGGACCTCGTTTGCCTTCAATCTTTCCCTGGAGGATTAAATGGAGTATGCCGTATTTTTCTGGGTGTCACATCACATGTCCAAAATATTCTAACTTTCGTTTTTTAATTGTTTTGATGATTTTCCTTGGCTTTCCCAGGTGGCTTATCACTTCCTCATTTCTGATCTTGTCAACCCAGCTTATTGTCTATATTAAACATATGTAATAGTTATTACAAAATATCAGTATCACTTTGGCTATTGCTTTCAGATAGAAAGATAGATAGATAGATAGATAGATAGATAGATAGATAGATAGATAGATAGATAGATAGATAGATAGATAGATAGATAGATAGATAGATGATAGATAGATAGATAGATAGATAGATAGATAGATAGATGCAGGCAGGCAGGCAGGCAGGCAGGCAGGCAGGCAGGCAAGCAGGCAGGCAGGCAGAGAAATAGATAAATGCTTCTTCGGGATCCTCAAAAATCTGTTGTCCCTTCTATTGTCAAGATTTGTTTTTCTCTCCCCAGAGGCACTGAGGAAAAAGAATTCCTGTCGGAAGTGTGGAAAATGCTTCGTTCAGAAATCGGATCTGGCTATCCATCGACTACTTCACAAGGGAGAGAAACCTTTTAAATGTCTGGAATGTGCAAAATATTTTGTTCATCACTCCGAGCTTGTGAAACACCAGCGCGTCCATACAGGAGAGAGACCCTTTAAGTGCTTCGAGTGTGGAAAGTGTTTTTCACGGCAGTCTGTCCTTGTCAACCATCACCGGATCCACACCGGAGAAAAACCTTATCGGTGCCTGGAGTGTGTGAAGTGTTTTACTCAGAGATCACAACTCATCCGACACCGAAGGGTCCACACGGGAGAGAAACCTTATAAATGTCTGGAGTGTGGGAAGTGTTTTGCCCGTCACTCGGTTCTCATCAATCACCAGAGAGTCCACACCGGAGAAAAACCGTACCAGTGCTTACAGTGTACCAAATGTTTCGCCCGTCAGTCTGTCCTGATGAGCCATCAAAGAGTCCACACGGGAGAGAAACCCTACAAGTGTCAGGAGTGTGGCAAATGCTTTGCTCATCAGTCGAACCTGGTCAACCATCAGAGAATTCACACGGGGGAGAAGCCCTACAAATGCATGAAATGTGGAAAAAGTTTTGCCCAACAATCTGATCTTGTAAAACACAGGAGAATCCACACAGGGGAGAGACCTTACAAATGCCCAGAATGTGGGAAATCTTTTGCGATCCGTTCAGATGTTGTGAATCACCAGAGGGTCCATACAGGGGAGAAGCCTCACAAATGCCCGGAATGTGGGAAGTGTTTTGCTCAACGTTCGGCTCTCGTCAGTCATCAAAGAGTCCACACGGGAGAAAAGCCGTACAAGTGCCTGGAGTGTAAGAAATGTTTTGCTCAGCTATCCAATCTTGTGAAACACCAGCGAATCCACACAGGAGAGAAACCCTATACATGCCTAGAGTGTGGGAAATGCTTCAGGCGGCGTTCCCATCTTCACGTGCACCATCGAGTTCATTCCCGAGTTAAGCCCGGTGACGACCTTAAGTGGGACGATGGCTTTGAAGAGCCAAGAAATGTTATTCAGTGTGGATCGGCGAACTCAAATGAAATACATTCTGAATAATTTACATTTAGTTAAAATGAAAAGGTTCTGGAAAACAATGCTTCCTTGATGCCGATGGAAGAAGACAGATATACTCATGACAGAAATAATGTTGAGGACAGATGTACAACTCGATCTGGGAAGGACTGAGTTTTAATGGCAGTAGCATGTGGAGCCCTAGTGGCTCAGTGGTTAAAGTGCAATACAGGTAGTCCTTGACTTATGACCACAACTGAGCCTAGAATTTATGTTGTTAAGTGAGAAATGTGTTAAATGAGTTTTGTCCTGTTTTATGACTTTTCTGGCCACAATTGTTAAGCGAATCACTGCAGTTGTTAAATTAGTACGGTTGTTAAGTGAATCTGGCTTCCCCATTGACTGCTTGTCAGAAGGTCACAAAAGATGGTCACATGACCCTGGGACACTGCAACCGTCATAAATATAAACCAGTTGTCAAGCATCCAAATGTAAATCACGTGACCATGGGGATACAGCAATGGTTATAACTGTGAAAAATGGTCACAACTCACTTTTTTCAATGCTATTGTAACTTCGAATGGTCACTAAGGAAACTGTTGTAAGTCGAGGACTACCTATATTGTAGGCTATCCCTACCCACAGTCAGGAATCTGATCCTGACAAGGGTCAAGGTTGACTCAGCCTTCCATCCTTTTGAGGTCAGTAAAATAAGGACCGAGATTGAATGCTACTGCTAGCGCTATATGAGCAATTGGTTCAGTTGCCCATGTTTAATAATAATAATAATAATAATAATAATAATAATAATAATAATAAAGTTGGAAGGGACTTTGGAGGTCATCTAGTCCAACCCCCTGCGGAGGCAGGAAATCCTATACCATTTCAGACAAATGGCTGTCCAGTCTCTTCTTAAAAAATTCCAGTGTTGGAGCATTCACCGCTTCTGCAGGCAGGTTGTTCCACTGGTTAATTATTCTAACTGTCAGGAAGTTTCTCCTTAGTTCTAGGTTGCTTCTCTCCTTAATTGGTTTCCATCCGTGGCTTCTCGTCCTGCCTTCAGGCGCTTTGGAGAATAGCTTGACTCCCTCTTCTTTGTGGCAGCCCCTGAGATACTGGAACACGGCTATCATGTCCCCCCTTGTCCTTCTCTTCATTAAACTAGACATACCCAGTTCCAGCAACCGTTCCTTATATATTTTAGCCTCCAGTCCCCTAATCATCTTTGTTTACTCTTTCTAGAGTCTCAACATCAGCTTGCCCGTTGTTTATCTTTCATCATACAGAAATAACAAACTCCCAAGTGTTTCAAAACAGCAGCAAAGCTAGCAACAATGAAGTGTGTAAATGTCCTTGCGTGGGTGCTATTGAACTGGTGCTTTCTATGGCCTTTTTCCTGGTTTAAACTGGAACCAATTTTTTTGGGGGGGGGAAGTGACTTTCTATGAAGGAAACAGTAGTTGGCACAGGAAGGTATTGGGGAACCTTCCAAATCATCACCTTGTTGCTCTAAAGCAGGGGTTCTCCGCTTTTGGGATATAGCCCGCTATTGGCCACCAGGCCATGCGAGTGGCTGACTGGTGCGCACCTGTGCGCACAGCCCCACTCGCAAGAGCGTTGCCGCGAACGTTTGCAGCCCCAGTCGTGCGAGCGTTGCCGTGAGCTGGCTGAGGAATTCTGGGAGTTGAAGTCCACAAGTCATAAAAAGGCCAAGTTTGAAGGCCCCTGCTTTAGAGCCTCCCTGAATATCTGGCTTGAGAAAGCAGAAGCGGGGGAAGATAATAATAATAATAATAATAATAATAATAATAATAATAACAATAACAACAACAACAACAACAACAACAACAACAACAACAACAACAAAGTTGGAAGGGACCTTGGAGGTCATCTAGTCCAACCCCCTGCTCAGGCAGGAAACCCTATACCAGTGATGGTGAACCTTTTAGAGACGGAGTGCCCAAAACTGGCCCTGTCCCGGCCCCACCCCGCCTACCCGCAGGGCCACTCACCGCCTCCAGGGCACGCCGCAGATCGCCCAGGCAGCCCAGCAGCGCATGGCGGCCATGCCCTCTGCGCATGCCCCGCAGCATCAACTGTGCGGGATGGGGTGTGAGGGCAGAGTCTTGTCTACGCTGCCTGGCTGCCATGTCCTTGGCTGCGCTGCTCCGTGTGGGCCACGCTCGGGGGCGACTCTCCTCCAGGGGGGCTGCTGGTGAGGAGGGGGTCGTAGGGGGAGGCGAGGCTGGGGCAACGGCACGTGTGCCCACAGAGAGGGCTCCGAGTGCCGCCTCTGGCACGCGTGCCATAGGTTCGCCACCACTGCCCTATACCATTTCAGACATAAACAAGCAAAGAGACAAAACAGTCACATGGTCTTTTTTAGATGGCTTTCTAATACTTCCTTTCCTGCCTCAGATGCCATAGTATTTGTGTTGGAACAGCCTCCACTCGCCCTTTGGAGTTTATACCTGATGACTAGGAATGTGCAAGAACTTTCCAAATGCTTGGGAGGACAAGCATCATCACTTTTTAACATAAGTCACATCACTTTCTGTCAGGTTTCCATGTGAACCCCAAACCAAACACCGCTATTTTAATGAATCAAATCCTTAAAGCAGCCAGCTCTTCTGAATCTCTTTAAAGCAGTGGTTCTCAACCTGTGGGTCGGGACCCCATTTGGGGTCGATCGACCATTTCATGGGGGTCGCCAAGCAAGGCTGTCCGCCATTTTTTTTGTCCGCCATTTTTCCCCCCTTTTCCGGCGGGTGCCTTACCTCCCTTGGGCTGGGCCAGCTGGTGGTCGGCCTGCTCCGTCTCTGCCGCTTGCCAGCTACGCCTCGGCCGGCACAGGGGGCGGAACCACGCATGCGCGGTGCTCCCGGGCAGGGAAAGTCCTCGACTTACGACCGGTTCGGTAGTCCTCGACTTACGACCGGTTCGGTAGTCCTCGACTTACGACCGGTTTAGTCCTCGACTTACGACCAGTTGGGGTCGCAGCATTAAAAAGGTTGAGAACCACTGCTTTAAAGCATGTACATACTGTATCTCTTCAATACTGGATTTCCAATGGCTGATGAAAACTGCTGTGTTGCATTCAGTGCAGAACTGTGGAACAGGCCTGCATTATGGGAATGAGCAGGAAGACTCAAATGGTGCAATGAGGCCTTGCAGCCTTTGAATTAATCAAATTACCCAGTTCCTTTAGGGATGAAACGCCTTTGGGAAAATCTTTTGCAGCCTTCATTAGGTCTGGACTGAACCAAAGAGTGAGACCTGCCAAAACTACAGATAATCCTTGACGTTTTTGGTTTTTTTTATATAAACTTGCTTTTTTAAAATGAGGATAATTCCTACCTAGCATCTAAAGATTTAGAAATGCATTAAGAAAGACCCCTATGTCAACAGCCCTATAGGTAGTAGTCCTTGACTTAATAATCTGTCATTTAATGACTGAAATTACGACAGACCCTAAAAATGGGGCTTACAACCTAGATTCAAAATTCCGATGTCCATCCTCCCCTTCCCTGCGATCATGTGACCGTATTTTGGCTGCTCAGCAACCAGCCCACATTTATGGCCATTTGCAGCAGGCATTTTTTTGCTGGAAATCACCATTTACTTCTGTTTTTCGGCAAACCCAGCCCCCACCCCCACCCCAACAGAGCAAACAATGGATTCACTTAAAAACCACCAAATTCACTTAATGACTATGGTATTCACTTAACAATTACAACCTTTGCTTAACAAAAAAAAGTAAAAATACCAAGTCTGGCATATGGTGACCCATTTTATGACCGTCATGACTTATGGACTGTATATGTTGGGCTCAATTACTGTAGTAAGATGAAGACTACCCGTATTTGGGTGGGGGGAAGGAGTTCAACAATTTGAGGCCTCTTTTTATTTATCCAGTAACACATGCTTTTGTATCAATAGGATAACTGCCCAAAACAGAACAGATCAGCACCAAATTTAGTGTGTGGGGAGAAGATAGAAAAAAAGGATCATACTTTCCACCTTAGTCTTTTACGTGTTCATAGGAAATTTTGATTTCTGAATACATGCAGTATATCTTACAAGACACCTTAAGTTTCTCGTGAATAAACTGATTCTGAAAATAACTTGATGCAGGTTTTAAGAATTGGTATTATGTAATTAAGTATTCAATTGAGGGATGGGGCAAGAAGAAGGGATGAATTATCTGTAAAAACCTTTGCTGGATTTCTCTAAATGTAAATTGAAATCGTTCTGGTCTGAGAAATTTGCGATGTACAACTCTATAAGCTGTGTATAAAAAATCATTTTTTTGCATTAGTAATTTATAAAGTATTACAAATCAATTAAATATATACATAAAACAATCTTCTGACCAGTTTCATTTTCCTTCCTTTTAAGCAGGTACCTTTTAACTGTTATAATTTTAGTTGCACAGAAATCACAATAGATACAACAACCACTACCAATGAATATACCATTTTATTTATATATAATAAGCTCTAGTGCAGCGGTTCTCAACCTATGGGTCGCGACCCCATTTGGGGTCGATCGACCATTTCACGGGGGTCGCCAAGCAAGGCTGTCTGCCATTTTTTCCCCCCTTTTCCGGCGGGTGCCTTACCTCCCTTGAGCTGGGCCAGCTGGTGGTCGGCCTGCTCCGTCTCTGCCGCTTGCCAGCTACGCCTCGGCCGGTGCAGGGGGCGGAACCACGCATGCGCGGTGCTCCCGGGCAGGGAAAGTCCTCGACTTACGACCGGTTGGGTAGTCCTCGACTTACGACCGGTTTAGTCCTCGACTTACGACCGGTTGGGGGTCGCGGCATTAAAAAGGTTGAGAACCACTGCTCTAGTGTAAGGTTGTCAAACTGGCGGCCCGCGGGCCGGATGCAACATGCACAGGCCACGCCCATCCCAGGTCCGCAAAGGCAAAAA